TAGAATAGGGAGCTGTTGATGCACTAAGCCCAGAAGATCATCTTTCTCTCCCAACTAGCATACTGCAAGTGTTTTACTTACTTATTTCTGAAACGTGTCTAATATTTAGTCTCTTTGCTCCCTTTTGCCTCCGCTCATTTTTCTCTACGAGCTACTTCTGTTGTAGGTCTTTGGTTTTTATACTTATTAGCTCTAAAAATAACTGGTTATAATAAACCTGTGACAATCACAGTTCCTAAGAGTGATGGATGACAAAACTAGCACTTCATCTTCGAATCTCTAACTCTTCCCTACCTTTGGTAAAATAGGCAGGACAATTGTAAATTTCTAAGATACCTTATACTTCTTTGGTATAAAGCACAGAGATATGTGATCAATAAAAGAAAAAAACTGTTCTGTTTTGCTTCTTCTCTGATTCAAATTTCACCAGAGTCATGGGAACTGTGAGAGAGTTTGTTTATTACAACAGAAATCTCAAGCTAGTGGGAAGGAAAGGGACCCAAGATAGCCAAATAAAACTGCACAGAACATTTCTATTTAAGAGAGAGAATCTTCCATCTGCCAGTTCACTCCCCAAATGGCCTAATGGCCAGCGCTAGGCCAGTTTGAAGCCAAGAATTTCATCTATGCCTACCTCATAAATGGGGAGGTCCCAAGCACTTGGGCCACTTCTATGGCTTTCCCAAGTACGCTAGCAGGAGCTGCATTTGGAATGTTAGTATTCCTACGAGATGCTGGCATCGCAAGCGTTGATTCACACTGTTGCATGCCAAAGTTGGCCCCAGAAGGTATCATCTCTCGCAAAGTGATATGTCTAAACCAGCTAATTCAGGTGTTCACAATTCTTGGAAGAGTTAAGATACGAATTAATGGCCTCTCCCCTTATATGCGGCTTCAAATGTCTGCAGTCAAATCTGGGAATATTAAAAAGCTCCTGAAATCATTGTGAAGCTAGTTTGGAAAAAGGCCAATCTAAGAAATTTTACTTTGTCATTGATTGAATCTGACCCCAAAATCTTATATAAAAGTTTTAAACTGTTAGGGAAATTCATGTATTGAACTGAACTGCATATTTGATTATTTTCAACAATGCTGTTTTTTTTTTTTTAATGTAAGGAGACTACTACTGCTCTTGAAAATGAATGTTTATCTTTCAGAGACACATACTGAAATATTAGTTAAAAAAAAAAAAAGCCCTGTTCATGAGTCACTGCAACATTATCCAGAAGAGTCTCTCTCTGTGTGTATGTGTGTGTATGTAGTAGGTGAGAGGATGATAGCAAAAACTTGACTGGAACTAAAACAGATTATTTCTGAGGTAACAATTACTGAATGTGGATGAGAGATTCTGAGGTGTGCATCATGCTCTTTTGCTTTTGCATTGTTTGAAATGTTATTTTTTAAAAAAGGGTGTGATCTTATTTGAAATTAGAATTTCAGTGGAGTGACTCAACTTTAACAACTGCCTTCAATCACCCTTTTAAAATGCTAAAATTGCAGGATATTTAGCATAGCTCACAAGCTAAGTTCCATCTTCTTGTGTATGTATGTACATACCAAAAGTTAACTTGTGAAATAAGACACTTAAGATGACATTGTTAATTCATTCAAAAAGGTTATGTGTTATAAAACACTCCAGGGCCTATGAAACACACACTGTGGGGCACGCAGTATAGCATAAGCAGCAGCTCTTCTGGTCCAGCTCCCTGCTAACCTGTCTGGGAAAGCAATAGATGATGACTTGGGTTCATGAACTCACATGGGAGACCTGTCCCAAATCAAACTGTTAAATATATCTTGACACTAGTATGTTGGACCCTCTGCCATTCTCCATTCCTACAATGTTAGGATACACATAAATAGCAGAATGATGGGCTTACGACTATTTTTGAAAAACTATGCTATTGTAATTATATAAAAGTCAAGGTGAGGAGGTCTGTTGGGGAGGGGAAATCCCAAAGTCTATGGAACTGTATCACAAAATAAATAAATAAAGATAATACAAGGGCCCAGCACAAGGGCCTAACAGCTAAAGTCCTCATCTTGAATGTGCTGGGACCCCATATGGGCGCTGGTTCTTTTTTTTTAAAAAAAAAGATTTCTATTATTTTTAAAATTTTTATTGCAAAGTCAGATACACAAGAGGAGCAGAGACAGAGAGGAAGATCTTTCATCCAACGATTTACTCCCCAAACAACAGCCTTAACGGTCAGAGCTGCGCTGGTCTGAAGCAAGGAGCCAGGAACTTTTTCCAGGTCTAACACGTGGATGCAGGGTCACAAGGCATTGGGCCGTCCCAGACTGCTTTCCCAGGCCACAAGCAGGGAGCTGGATGGGAAGTGAAGCTGCCGGAATTAGAACCGGCACCCATATGGGATGTTGGTGCATTCTAGGCAAAGACTTACACTGCTAGGCCACCGCGCCAGGCCCAATTGTTTCTACACACTTGTTTGAAACGATCTTTTATTTTTGTATACTCAATCAAGTGTCCTCTTTCAAATGATGTCCAATCAATTGTTCTCCTACAAATGATATCCTATCAGTTGCCATCCTATGTTCGCTGTCCTTCTATGAATCACAATGTTCTTCTATTTTAATTCTTGTCTTATAAGTAAATTTAAAGTGTGTTCCTTATTGCAGATAGAATGGTTATACTGTGATAAAATTGACCTCTGCTTAGAATTTAAAGAAACAACCCCAATTTTGAGTTTATACTTTCCTAAGTCCCACCAAATTTTCATTTTGTGCCATGGCAAATCAGGACCAAGAAAATTAAATCTTGAGCATTTATGGTCATACTCTCTCGCCAAAATGATTTTCTTTAAATCCGTTTATCAGAAAGTGCTCTGCTAGCAAAAACTATCCATTGAATGCTTACTACTTCCCAGGTACTCTAATAAACATCACTTTATTTGACCTTTTTTTTTTTTTTAAGATTGGTTTTTATTGCAAAGTCAGACACACAGAGAGGAGGAAAGATAGAAAGATCTTCCATCCAATGATTCACTCCCCAAGTGAGCGCAATGGTCAGAGCTGAGCCGATCCGAAGTCAGGAGCCCAGAGCCTCTTCCAAGTTTCCCACGTGGGTGCAGGGTCCCAAAGCTTTGGGCCATTCTTGACTGCTTTCCCAGGCCACAGGCAGGGAGCTGGGTGGGAAGTGGGTCACCCGGGATTAGAACCGCACCTAGATGGGGTACTGCTGTTTTCAAGGCGAGGACTTCAGCTGGTAGGCTACCATGCCAGGCCCTAACCTCTTTTTAGTCAATTAACCCCTTTGGTACAGGTAGTTTTATTTATACAAGGCACTAAGGCTTAAACTGTCCAAGAGAAAACTAGTAACAGATAAATCCACTCTCCACCTCTAGACTTGCATGGCCATTATTAGCTACACAACATTGGTCTCAACACACCAATTTCTGCTGGTTAACAACAGGGGCCATTTCCTGCCAAGGTGAATAACTCACTCAAGGAGCTTGCTAAGTTTCCAGGTATGAGAGGGAAAGCTGGGATTTGAGTTCTGACCTGACTGGAAAGCTTATGCATCTTTTTAATCAGTGATTCAACGTTTATCCTAAACCAGTCTCTTCTACAGGAGTATCTGAGTTAATGGAAAATAACATTAACATCACATTATGTTGCTGCAAACTAAATTTTAAAGATTTCAGTTTACATTTTTTAGAGCATTTTTTTGGAGACCCCCTCATACGTAGAGGTGTCTGTATGTTAAACTTGAAGGCACACACATTCCCTTACTGGTTTCTACGAAGGCTCACACCCTAGTATTTTGTATTGTTAGTACCCATTTCCAAAATGTTATGCTATACTGTAAAGATAAAAGCCCAAGCTCAAATGGTGGCATATGTAAAGTTAGCCATTGTACCAACTACTGAATTATCAAAAATGTAAACAAACTTTCCTTCATCTTTGCTTTTATTACTGATACAATCCTTTATTAGTGATCCAAGTGTTGGAACGACTAGAATCTTGAAATACTCCACCTAGGATTTCAAGGTCAACACAAGGAAACATTCTTTCAGAGTCAGATGCTCTGTATAAACAAAACGTTCCAAACCTGTGCTTTTCTGTTCTTAAACCATCATTCATCTAGACTAGAAATTCTGTCTACATAGTTTTTGGGTTCCAAGAAGGATCTAGTTCCTTTTTCAATGATTAACTGCATTGAACCTAGAAGCTCTAACTGAAGTACACAACTTATAATCCATTTTAGAATCAGCCACGGAGATTAAGTTTGACCAAGTCTCTTTGAGTATTAGAAGTCTTACTTTACTTTTTAACTTTGTTCTCTGATAGTTGTCTAATTTTTGATCAACAATCAGTAACTTCAAATGTTAGGCATTTCAAAAATACACATTGGAAAGGTGCCAGGACAGGCACCACCTTACTGATAACATAAATATACTGAAAGCATTGTCTAAATTGTTTAGAACCTACTTTGAGATGCTATTATCCTATGGCATCAATAGCTTAAGCATGTGGCAGGGGCTTTTACCCAGCAAACTGAAAAAATTCAGGATGAGTTTAGTAGCTGAATGTGTAAGTAAAAGCTTATATAATATTTATCACATTTTTTGTTGTTCTTCACTAAATATGAAAATCTTAGATAACATGGATTTGCTTATCAAATTCTTACACTACAAAATAAGAGCCAACACATACTGCTGAAAGACAGTTAAAGCATCACATACACCAAAGCAGAAAGTAGAAGCAAACTGAAAATCTTAGATGACTCCGATTTTTTTCCCAGCAAGCTTTATTAACTCATAACGACTGGCTGCATTTGGAGCACACAGGATCCCAGTACCAGAGAAGGGCAAAACAATGAGGGGGCCTCCCAGAAAGGAACCTTCATCGCCTCTGTCACACAGCAGCAAAGCAACTGCTGTATGACCAAATAACCAAATTCATTGAAGCTGTTACACATCTAATAAAAAAAAAAGTAGAAAAAGGAAATACATTAAAAATCGTAAATGTTGTCGTTCTCATTTCTCAAGTAATTTATTGGTAGTTATTATCTAGGTTTGTATAAATATAAACATTCTAAGTGACCAAGACTAGTGCAGGTACAATTACGTAAGAAAGCTTTATAGAAAGCTACTTCATTTTGCATGGATAAGAATCAAAGTTCTAAAAACTTGGTTATGCCAGTGCCACCACAGAAAAACAAAAAAAGCAAAAAAGAAACCAATCAGGAAAAAAAAAAAAAAACCTTAGCTAACAAAGTGCATTTCTTGTCGTGACTTGCCAAACAGTTGTTGACTACATGTACTTGCAGGAAACATCCATGTTAATGGGTTATCCTAGGAAGTCTCTGTAGGTAGGAATTGAAGACCTTTGATCTAGTTAGCATCACAATGTAAACAGCACCAGAGTTTTCAGACAGCTCTGTCACTTCCTCCTCCTTTGCCACCATCATAATTCTTATCTGCAGTAATAGCATCCTTCCTTTCCATAATCCAGACTGGAAAGCCCACGGAACACCACTTGGTTTGTAAACAAAACATTAAAGCTCAGAATACAGATTCGGTGTCTTTTCCATTTTCATTTCATAATGTATCACGTGTTGTTTATAAAGCTTTTGTTCCTCCTAAGATACTACAAAAATATATGAAAACTGCATCTGTTTTCAGGCAGCAGGTATTAATAAAACATATATTCTCCAATTGGACTAATTTTGAGATCATGTATGGTAATTAGTCTTTTGGCTGATTCATCAACTGATTTCTTCATAAACCCTTACATGTACCCAACCATGTACATCTGTGACCACAGAAATCCACATAACCTTATTTATTACATGAGTCAACAATTTTAGGTTTTCCAAGTGAAAGTGCTTCTGATAAACTGTAACAGCCCTACAGCCCCAAAATGTTGTTTTAAACTGTATTAAAAGATGTATAGCTATTTCTAAAGAAACTACACACCAAAACATGCTTAGCCAGGAGAGTTAATTCATGCACCTGAATCCTCTTCATCAAAGTTAGACCAACTTAATATTGTCTAGAATGAAGAGGATGAGATTCCAGCAAATATCAAAAATCATCTGGTCAAAATTTTAGAAAAGCAAATGCTTCCTTTCATTGCTTAGGTTAAGAACTGGTTGGGCCAATGGGATCGATACAAGCATGTATTTTATTAACCTAGTTAACATTTCCATTCATTTGTTTTGCATCTTTATATAGCCCTGAATGCAATTTCTTGCAAAGCCTTCTCCCAGAAGAACACTAGCACAAAACACTAAGTAGACATTCTTCCCAGTTTTCTTTGACTAATTTCACATCAATTTCCACAACTATTTTGTGGTCGGTTTACTACCCTTGCTTGGCTTCCCAAAAATGGTAGTACCAAAAGATTTGGGGGGAAGGCAGCAAGAGACCACTCTAAGAAGCACTGCATTTATTCATATTCCACAAGGCAACGGAGTTGGGCATCTGATTGTTCAACAAAACAAAGCTTTAAGTAGCATCCAGGGCAGGTGGCAAACCAGGCTGTGGACATGGATGCTTCCGCGTGTCCAAATCAGATCAGGGCAAGCCTGCTCCATATACATACAAAAGCTATTCATCTTTTCTTCTTCTGTTGTCGCAGCATCTTCCTCCTTTTGAGGATCATCTCGTGTAGTTTCTCAAGTCCTTCCTTTAATCCGTCTCCAATGATGGCACACGTGGGCTGCAGGTACCACGGAGTGGACGAGCTCAGTTCCCCCATCGCTAACAACTTCTCAATTTCCGAGAGCGACAGCGAGTTCCTCAGATCTTGTTTGTTAGCGACAATAAGCACAGGGACCCCTTGATTTTCTGATATCCTAGTGATTTTATGCAGTTCAGTTTTCGCCTCCTCCATCCTTTCTACGTCCACCGAGTCCACAACGAACACGATGCCATCTGTGCACCTGGTGTAGGACTTCCACAATGGCCTTAATTTCTCCTGACCACCTACATCCCAAAAGTGAAAAGTGACAGTCTTGGAGTTGCCTAAGGTTACCTTGATTTTCTCTGTGTTAAATCCTTTCGTGGGGACAGTGTTTACAAATTCGTTGAACTGCAGTCGGTACAAGACTGTGGTCTTGCCTGCGCAGTCCAAGCCCAGGATGACGATGTGGAAGGACTGGAAGGAGGGCAGGCTGGCCAAGATGGAAGTTTGGTCCGAGAATCCATTCCCCATCTCCAGCAGTGTCCCGCTCAGTGCCCCGAATGGAAAGGCTCCTTTCTCACTGCTTCCAAACGTCTCTTCCTGGAGAATCCGGCCACCAGACTGCTGTGAAGCAGAAACGGGGTTCCGTGATTATGGCGAGGTGCCACCTTAAAACCAACTTTCTCCATTCTCGGCTACGGCATTCCATGGGACTAAATAAACACTAAATAAGACTTCCTTTGGCAAACAGACCACATGAGACAGGAAACAAATCGATTCAAGGCACACGGTGGGATTGCACCGTTTAAGCGGTGGCAATGACACTTCCCCGCCAAGGTCCCAGCTCTCCTCCAGAAAGCACACACACTTGGTGGGGTGTCCGTCCAGTCACCAGCAACCTGATTTAGGTCGGGGACGGCACGAAGCTCCCCCCCAGACACACCCGACTGGGTGGGCTCATCTCCACACACGACACCTCCTCCCCACACCCGCAGGACGACCAGGCTCTCACCTCCGGGGCCACAGTCGGGGACCCAGTGCCGGGGCATGGGCGGCCGCTCCGGCTGACAGCGCGGCTGCTCCTGCTGAGGTCACCCGGCCGCTCCCCCTGAGGTAACCCGGCCGCTCCGGGGCACGGACAGCGCGGCGGTTCCTCCAGAGGTAACCCGGCCTCTCTGACTGAGCTAACGCGGCCCACCGCTCGCCTTCCTCCGGCCCGCGCGGTTCTGCCAGGCGCACGGCTGAAAACCTCCGACTCCGGGCCGGCCCCGCCCACTCGCCTCTCCCATTGGCCAGCTGGTCCAGGGCAGCCCTGCAACGCCCGCCCCCGCGCTCCCATTGGGCGAGGGAACCGCCGCTCCGAGCCGCGCCCGCTCCCGCCGCGGCGGCACCACCTGTTGTCGCGGGGCGGGGACGGGCGGCGCCGCGGGAGCCAGCGGCCTCTGCCGGGAGGGAGCGGCGGGCGTTCCGGTCACCGACGGCCGCGCCCCGCCCCGCCGAGCGCACCTGCGGCGCGCCGCCGCCCAGCCGGGGCCCTCGCAGCCGGGGCCCGCAGGCCTGCTGCCTGGCTCCGCCGCGTCGCCGCAGAGGCCGGCGCCATCCCGCCTGAGGGGCCGCGGAGCCCCATCCCGGCCGCCCGACTTACCGCGTCCGGTCGCCCCTCGGGCCCGCCGAGGGCTCGGGGCGGCGGCACCGGCGAGGCCGGGGCGGACGGCCGCCCCTACCGCGCTCGGCCGACCGTTGCCCGCCGCCGCGGACCCGCCCGGCTCGGCGCGTCGCCGGGGAAGGGGGCGCGCGAGCCGTCTCCTAGCAACGCGCCAACAGGGCGGCGTTGGCAGCGGCGGGCGCGGTCGGCCGGCGGAGCCCGAGGGGGCTGGGCCCGGGAGCCTCTCCGCCGGGCGTTCCGGGGGGCTCGGGACCCTTCGGGAGCTCCCGGCCGCCGCGTCCCTGTGTGGAGGCCCGCAGCGTCCGGGTGGAAGGAGGGGAGGCGGCTGGCGTGGACGAGGGAGCGCGCCCCGAACGTTGGGGGTGGGGAAAGCTGCAGGAGGCCAGTTTGGAAGATTCTAGAGGGTGCACATTTTGAAGAAAACGCACGCTTTTAGCAAAATGCATACGTGCATTGGAACCTCCGCCAGACAGTTTCCTGGTTTTTCTCTCAAGGCCACTGGTGTCAGTGTCATTGCTCTCATGAGCAGAGTGGGGAAGTGCTATTGTCATTTTTTTTAAAATGCAGTTTTCAATGCAGTTTAAAAAAAAAAAATAGGGCTGAGCACAAAGTATAGTTCCAAGATGGCAACCCTAATTTTGGAAATGAGAAATTTCAAATGGTATATTCTGGAAAGTTATTTTCTATTATATTCCCAAAATGAATGAATTTTGTTGAAAGCAGAGTCAAATCCTCACTCTGTACCCCAAATGCCAGGCACCCTAACCTTAATCTTGATTTCCTGTATGTGGTAGGTAGGTGAGGGCTTGAGTGTCTTTGGCAGGCTGGAGCCGGAGCTGGCCCTGGCAGGTGGGCAACCCCGGGCACCTGCCCCCTCAAGTTATTTACTGCACCCAGTGTAAGCTAAGGTGCCTTATCATTTCAACAGTGGAAACTCATGAGCTGTACTCAGCAAACAGATGACAAAGGACTCTGTGGAATAACGATTTTGTTTTTTCTTGGAACCTAAACCGGAGTTGCAACAATTATTTTAATTTGGGAGCCAGAGAGGGAGAGCCCTTCTATGCACTGGTTCAAGCAGGGCTGGAAGGGGTTAGGTGGCAGGGGGCCCCCGTGGGTGGCAAGGAGCCTTTGTTGTGTCCTGGTGGTTGTGGAGGGTCTGCCTTGGAGGGGACCTGGAATTAGCAGCTACAAACAGATGCACTTGATGGAGGCACTGTTCATCTGATGGATTCTTCATTGCCATAGCTTCTCCTCAAGTCAACTTTGAGTAACAGAATTTCATGTCGGCCCTCTGTTTATAATGTCTTTGAAAGTATATACCCACCCACTGTTCCACAGAGGGTGTAATTCTACCAGGTCTTCTGGAACAAAAAAGGAAAAAAGCACCCAAACTGACAGAACAGTAGTTAAACAGTAGTTTAAAGGCATACATATTATGCCTTTAGCTTAGTGTGATCTGCATATTACATAAAGCCTGTGCGGGTCAACTCAAAAGGTGAGGATGGTTTCTACATATTTAAAGGGATGCCAGAGCAAAGGTAAAAATATGCAATATAGACATCTGCTCCCGACAAGGCTTAAATGACTGCTTTCTGCTGACTTATTTATTTAAAAATATTTGGCAGTTTGCACATTTTGCTATTTATAAATGGTTGGAATCCAAAGCAATCTGCAGATTGTTGTGCGGTTTTCCTGTGCGATGTCTTTTTATACATTTTATTGGGCTGCTAGGCCTTTGAGACTGCGGCTCCTGGTGCATGCTCCAGAGTGCCTCCAGGAATTCCTGGGAAACATTTTGAGGAAAAGCCTGACATCTACTGGACAACGGTAACAACTACAACCACTAAGTTGGGTGTTATCTACTGGGTCTTTTTAAAAATTGTTTATATTTTATTTTGATGATCTTTACACAGTTGATTAGGGCACAAAGGGTCAAGGGCTACAGGAAAGTGCGTAAAACTGTTGTTTCCATTTTTTTCTCTTTTTTTTTTTTGTTGTATGGGGGATGAGTAAGGGGGAGAGATAAAGGGAGAAGCCACACCCACCTTCTCACCCATCCCAGGGTTCCCAGTGTGGGGCATGCTCTGAGGGCACTGCTCAAGTGGTTTTGATGGTTCGATAGTTCTGAATTGCTGCCAGTCTCGCCATTCCAAGCATGATGAAATCTTTGCAGAATCCAATGGCTGACATAGTCCACCTTAGAGTCTCTGCCCAGATATTCACTGCCAACACGTGGCTGACAAGCAGAGGTCCGTAAACCCTCTTTAAGAAATTCACAGTAAAAGACCAAGTACCCTTAGCTCCACAATATAGCTGGGAACAGGCTTGGTTGGGGAGCTAAGGGTACTTGGTCTTTTGATCTGAGAAACTGTGAATTGCTAAGAAGCGGCTCTATGGACCTCTGCTTCTAGTCATGGTTTACTAAACTCAGGTAATAATGAGAATCATTAGGTTGTTAGAAGCCTGGAGCTTCTTCTGAGTCTCCCACGTGGGTGCAGGGTCCCAAAGCTTTGGGCCGTCCTTAACTGCTTTCCCAGGCCACCAGCAGGGAGCTGGGTGGGAAGTGGAGCAGCCAAGATATGAACTGGTGCCCACATGGGATCCCGGCACATGCAAGGTGAGGACTTTAGCCCCCAGGCTACTGTGCCGGGCCCCACTAGGTTGTTCTTATCCCCAATTCCAGATTTCCTGAACAGAATCAACAAGAGAGTAAGCATGATCTATATTTTCAGTAATGATTTCAGATAATTAATACACATGTTGAAACGGCACTGGTCTTAACTGGGTGTAGGAGGACAACTGATTTGATCTGTAAGAAAATAATCGATTAGAGATGACATTGGGTATCCTTACCTGTGTGGAGTCAGAGTTAGCTACAATTCTGTCGGGAAGGCCCTGGGAGCAGTCAATATGGAAATGAACAGGCAAGAAACTCCCTGGTCCGCAGGTTTAGATAACAGATCCGGAGAGGTGCTTCTTCCTGCAGGCAGGGGAGTGGGAATTAACTGAGGAACCAATAGCGTCTTGCTGTTGAAGTGTAAATTCCCCAAAGCCCCCTGCTTAAGGCCTACCTGACCACCTGTGTTTTAAAGGTCTGATGCTGTTAAACTTCCGGCTATTGACCGTGGGTAGTCCATGCCTGTTATTATCAGTTCTGTTAACCAAGACCATCACTGCTGATCCATTTTTTTTTCTATTAAATTATTACCAGCGAGTGATTTCCCTTTATGAACCACAGTCCGAATAAGTACAAATAGCATTCTAACTTCTGCTGTGTGACATATGTAAGTATGCACACATTAAACTGCTGTGTCCTTCCGTGTTGTGATGTATTTCTGAGTCCTTTTAATCTGAGTGTCTTGCCAGTGATGCTCCCTGGTTGTCCTTTTGCAGCTTCTTTCCCTCAATTGTGTCACTGCACTTGCCACCACTCACTTTTCTCTGGCTGCATATACAGTGTGGAGACAGCAGCCAGTCAACATGCCCACATGTCTTTCAGTGCCCACCGCTGCATCCTACTCTGATTCTCCTTCATCTCAGCGTTCAGTTTCTTTGCTGTGTGTTCAACTTCGTTAGCTCTCTTAACGATGTACTTCCTTAGGGTATGCATGTTGACTGCTGGAGACAGGAGCGCAGTGTAACTGCACATCAGCTGTTGTCAAGGGGCATAACAGATGTGCCAATCAGGAGCAGACCGTGAAACAAACACCAGTTGATCATCAGTCATGATGTTTCTGCAAACAGCAGTATCTGCTTCTATGCAATGCAACCACTTAAGTTAGCTGCAGTGGGCATTGTGGTGTTGAGAAACTGTTGCTTAACTGTGCTTTGATAACTGAAAGTCACGCACAGCGGGAATCGTGGGAAGCATCAGCTGCCTGCACTTTGCATTGGGAACGGCTAGATTCCTGTCTTCCAAGGAATGGGACTGACAGCAAGTTTTTAAAGCGAAATGAAGGGATAATACTACATACACTCTATATTTTATTTGGGAGGCTTAAATGGAAACATTTCATGATTTAAATGAGTCCAAAGGTAAATATCTCTGAAATTAAGGAGCATTATTCAAGTTATGAACCATTGCTCTAAAATAGAAAAAAGAAGGAAGGAATGGAGGGATGGACAAAGCTTTTGATTCCTTTAAAGATAATCAGGACAATTAATCTGCAATTTATCTCATGCCATGGACTCCTAGTTTGTTTTATAAATAATCAGTGTGCTTAATTCAAGGACCTTGAGGAGTGAGTGAGCAAGAATGTGGCTGAGTAAGAGGCTCCCTGACCATCTTACGACCCACTGATTTTTTTTATAGAACTATTCATGCAAGAAGTCACTTTCACAAGAGCTCCAGATGAAAGACTGCCATGTTGGGTTTTAGAACAATAAAAAGACACAGTGAAGAAGCAGGAAGAATAGAGTTGCTAACATCATGTCATTCCAAGCTCCAGGGAGTGAAGCACGGTGATAGACATATTGCCTCCTGCTTGGGCATGGGAGAGAAAATTAAATCCAAATCTTAGAC